CAGAACCCTTTGCTTTTATATCTGTGTACCAGTCATCACATTAACTTCAAGAATGACCATCTGAAATTTAGCATGACCATCTGAAACTCTCTGCACTGAGCAAACCAGTCGGTCCTTATGCAAAAGAATAAATGGGTATAAATCTGGCATTAAAATCTACAACATTCAAAGGCCAGTGGGAGGACAATTTAAACTTCCAGGACATTTCACTGCTGACCTAAGAGTGGCAGTCCTTAATCAGAGAAGCTTCAAGGGGAGATTACAATGTGAAATTGCTGAACCTGAGTGATTTATTCACCTCTCTGCTCTGACAAGTTTCAACTGGCTGTTTCCACATGTTAAGCTTCTGTTAAAGGGGCAGAACATTTTTCTCTCTCCAGGTTGTTGGCAGACCAATACACAGACCACAGGTAACAATTGCTTAGTCCGAACTGCCTCCAGTTTCCTGAAAGAACAGCCATCCTTATCCAGCCTGGATCTTGCACTAACATTCCAGCCCCATTTGATTTCCTAGCTCTACTTTGTTATCTGATGGTTTGTCTAACAAAGAGAGCGTGTCAGGCATTTCTTTTCATTTTGCCCTCACCATAGCCCTGTAAGCTAGCTCAGGCAGAGAGAAGGTGACTGGCTCAGGGACACCTAGTGAGCTCCGGGGCTAAGTGGGGATTTGTGCCCAGCACTCAAGCCACTAAACCACACTGTGTTCTCACATCAAGGATTTTTAAAAAAATATTAGAAGAAGATGAATGTGTGCAATTGCATACACAATCTGATAAATTGTATGCAGTGCACTGAAAACATCCAGGAGAGAGAGAAAGGAATTCATTTTTGCAGGATAAGTACCTACTCGGTCAGCTATAATTCTAAATCGAACCTCCATGTTCAGGAGCAATGTGCTTCAGAATGCTGGGGACAAACAACGGGCTGGGCCTTCATTTTTGTGTTCTTCTTAGCACTATCTGCTTAGCCACTGATGGAAACAGAAGCCCGCCAGATGGATTTTTTGTTTTGTTTTTAGCTAACAGTTTTTCATTCTTCTGATTTTGAAAGTTTTAGGGGGTAGCCATGTCGGTCTGTTAAAGAACAGCTAGACTTGAGTCCAGTAGCACCTCAGAGACCAAGACGTTTTTCGGAGTATAAACCTTTGAGAATGAAATCTCCCTTTGTCAGACACAAGTCGAAGGGAGCTTTGACTCTCAGAAGCTTACATCCCCAAAATCTCATTGATCTCTAAGGTACTACTGGATTCAAATCTAGTTGACTTTAAAAGGAATCACTAGATGATTCACAAAACTGTGGAGGAGCCCCTTCACAGCCTATTTTTTCCTCACCTCCCCCCCACCCAATACATCACTATTGACGAAAAATTAACATCAATAAACACTATTGAATGAGGATACAAGTTCAGATTAGGGATGGGCACAAACCGGTTTATGAGCCAAGCTTCGGCACGAACGTGGCCCGGTTTGGAGCCCCTGAACCGATGATTGGGGAAGATGCCTTCCCCAAAATTTTACTGGATTTTTGTCCAGTTAGGTTAGGCTGTTTGGGCCACATGTCCACAGCTCAGACAGTTAGGTTTAAATGGCTGTGAGCCATTTCACCAGTCAGTTTTGCTTCCCCCTGCTTCGGGGGGGGGGAGAAACAAACTGCTGAAGTCACTGTCACCCATTAAAACCTAACAGTGTGTTGAGTTTGCTCATCAGATGTTAGGCTTAAATGGCTACAAGCCATTAAACCCATCAGTTTCACTCCCCTCCCACTTTGACCATCTGAAATTTAGCATGACCACTGAAACTCTCTGTACTAGACAAACAGCCATTTAACCCTTGCCAGCCATTTAACCCTCCCCAGGTGATCCCCCCTCCTTCTCCTGGCCATTTTTTGGCTTGGTTCAGTTCAGGAATTTACCCCAAATGAACCAAACCAGAATTTTCAGGTTTGTGCCCATCCCTAGTTCAAATTCTTACAAGTGGTTTTGCATTAGGCAGTTTAAGGTCTAACCATCTCTCTTGCTCTACTCACTCATTGGGTCTGACGTTGCCTCCACGAATGACTCCCCATCCGATCACATTGTGAAGCCAGAAGTATTCTGGTGTCCAGGACTTGGACTCCCAAAATAAAATCAAGCAGGCAAGTGAGAGCTGCTCTGGATGTTGAT